CAGCAGACGGGGCTGGGAAAAGCAGAAGAGGTAAGGCTTATAGGGGATGTGGGGCTCATGGAAGAGGAAGGTAGAGCAGTGGGGGAGCTAGGGGGGCCAGTCAGGAAAGTAACTAGGAGTTCAAATGATTTGGGCTGGGGTGGGGGGGACTCACATGTGGGGGAGCAACTAAGAGGCAGGGTTCTTGTGGGGCAGGGGTACCTGGCAGAGTCCCAAAAGAAAGCTAGAGTTGCCTACCTGATCTCAAAGTCGATGTTGGCCTCGTAGGCCTGGAAGCCATGTAGGCCGAGGGTCCCGCAGCGCAGGCCCTGCTCCAGCAGCCGCTTGGCGGGGGCGAGGAGCCGGGGAAGAGCCATCACTACCTTCAGGAAGGGCATGAGCCGTTGCCCGTGGTACCCGTACATGCCTGATGGGGAGGGGGGTGGGGCACAGTCAGGACCCAGCCTAGGGTACTGGAGCCTTAGGGGTGGTTCTGACCACCCCTTCACATGTAACCTAACTCACCCATCTCGAGGGGACTCCACCCTGCCCCCCACACCAAAAGCCCTTAGGTCAGAGCATCCCCTTGCAGCAGCAGCAGCAAGTGGGGTGGGAGATCCCAAACACAGTGGGGTGAATGGCGAGAGATAATCAGGGGTACCCACTGGTTTCCTACGGAGCATCCCTCGGAGCTGTACAACCCCAACCTCCACCCACATGGAAACAGGGTGAATGCTGTGGGGAATGCTCCAAGGAGGTGGGTAGGGGTGTGTGCGCGCATGTGTAGGAGCAGGGAAATCATTTCCTGACACAGGACTGGTCCAGCAAAGGGAAGAAGGCTGGGGTGTGGGGGGGGGGCACTCACTCTCCTTGCTGCACAGCTCCACAGCCAACACAGCCTGGCTCAGCCCATCCTTGTTGGAGCGCATGTCCCGCAGCACAGCCCCGTTCAGCTCCTGCTGGAACTCACCCAGGTGCTGGGCCTGGAAGCCTGGGGGCACAGACCGGGAAGGGTTGGGGATGGACAGGGGATGGGGGAGGTTGCCTATGCAAAGACAGCACTGCTGTCTCCACCCCCTCCACTCCTGCTGTGTGTGTGTGTGTGTGTGTGTGTTGGGGGGGGGGGCGCTGCAGCAGCACTCACCACTGGGGGCAGGCACATAGAAGTAGGGGGCAAAGCCATGGATGTGGCAACATACACTGTTGCCAGCCTTAGTGACACCAAACATACGGAGCACGGGCACTGGGCCCTGTGTGGCACCTGGCATCCCAGGAAATGGAGAGCCTGCAGGGAGAAAGTCAGGCAGAGATCAATGCCCCCTTCCTTCCAAAGGAGGGGGTGGGGCATGGAGAGGCAACCAGGTATCCTTCCCCCACCTTACATGAGGCACCCTGCCCCCACACCCCAGCTGACTGGGAAGTTTCCCTGGGGAACTCCAACCTGTGTGTCCAGCCCTCCCCTGGGATAGGGACACACTGGGCCATTGTGCTTTGTAAAAGCCCCTGCTCACCCCAGGACACAGATAAGGCTAGGCGGGGTTCCCTATGTGGGGGGAGGAGGGCAGGGGTTACAGATTAAATCAGACAAAGCCCCCAAGATGGGGGAATGGAAATAGCTGGAGGGATAAACCCAGACCCCAGCCCTTCCCCAGAACACAGTAACCTCCAAGGGTTTGGGGGAACAGGGAAGATTAGGCCACACTCGTTTGGAGTTGGGATGGGACTGCCAGGCTAGCAGGAGAACCCAGGTGTCCTGGCTCCTCACCCTTACCACCTAACCACTCTCCACCCAGAGCCGAGATCAAACCCCAGAGTCCTGGCTCCCCACCCACCTGCTCTGACCATTCAGCCCTACTCCCCTCCCAAAGGCCCCCAACTGAGTCTATGGAGTTGCGCTGGGCATGCTCACCCACGTAATAATCCAGCTCCACCTGCTGGAAGCAGAGTGCATCAGCTGCGGGGTCGATCCCAGGGGGTGCTGGGCGCTGCCACTTGGGGTTCAGCACCGAGGAGAACAGACTCCCTTGAAGGGGGAGATTAAAGTTCAATGTTAGAGCCCCAATCCCTCCTCCTCCTCCCTCCTGGTGCTGCACCCCTCAACCCCTGCCCCATAAGCCAACAGTCCACCACTCCACAGCCCCTTAACCAGGGCCCTGGCCCCTGAGGGAGGCTGGAGGGGGTCGCCTCACCGATGGCCATGACATCAAGCAACTGAGACGATGACTCCATCTCCAGAGTCATCTCGCTCTCCACCTCATCCAGGTAGGCCAGTGCTGCCTCAAACTGTGAGGGGTTCTCATCCTCCCAGTCACCCCCCCGTGGCCGCTTCCACTGTGAGGGGTCCTCTGGGCCAGGCCCCGCTGGGGATACCTTCCGCTTGGCCTCCATGGTGGATCTGACGGCAAAAGCAGAAGACCAAATTGGGCTTAGAGTGCCTGGAAGAGACTGAATCATGAGCAGAGAAAACACTTCTGTTGCGCACTGACTGGTGTTTCAAAGAGAGGGGATCCTTTGTATGTTCCTTGTAAATAAACAGGGCTGCATCCAAAAGACACCTGGGTCCATCCTCAACGTTTTCTTCTAATGCCAATCATCCATATTGGGGGGTGGGGAACAACCTGAAGGATGGATGACACAAATGACACGGGAAAGCCTCAACCTGTGGCACACAACAGATCAAGATGGGAGCAAGGAATACAGCAGCAGGTTGAGTAGGGAGAAGTAGGGCAACAGATCAGACAGTGGGTGCAGGGCAGAGAGCAGAAAGCAGAGTAAAAGATCAGGCAGTGAACACAAGGAAGGAAGCAGAAAACAGAGCCACAAAGTGGACAGGGAGAAGGCACAGCAGCATACCAGATGGGGACCATGGGCCAGGGAGCAGAAGGCAAAGCATTAGATCAGAGTGAGAGAACAGGGCAGGGAGCAGAAAGCAGAGTAGCAGATTGGGCAGGGGAGGGTGCAGGGCTAATTTGAAGCACATCTGCCCAAAAGGTTGGTGCCTACTGCCCTACGTGACTCCAACACATGCTAATTCCTCATGCCAGGAACAGATAACCCTTGCAGGGCCCTTTTTATTTCTGTCTCTACAGCTTCCCTACAGACCCGCTGCCTGGCACAGCAAGCCAAAATGTGCTTGGTACTAGAGCTAGCACAAGCCCATGCATAAGACATCATCAGAACGGATCACAGGAAAAGATGCTGCAAGGTATGCAAAGAAAAAAGGAGTCTGTGAGGCTCTTAAAGCACGTTTCCTCTGGAAGGGCTGATGCAATGAGGTCTGGTGTGGGGGCCAACTTTCCGGGCAGGCGTGCCACAAATTAGCCCTGCACCCTGCCCGAGTGCCAGGCCAAGCCCCTTCCCGTGCCCAGTCTGCTGTTTGCTCCCTACCCTGCCTGCTGCTGTGTTCCCTGCCCCCTCCCCAATCTGCCATGTGCCACACACACAGTTTACCCATGCCACTTGTTGGCCAACCCTGGTATAAACCAATTCCACTGCATTTGTGCATCCACTGTGTGCTTTCCAAACACCTAGGGACAGACCAGCCACACGGCCTCCTCTATGAAGCCCAGCACACATCACAGGAACTATGATCCCCTTGGCACCTGAGGTCCAGTCCCCCCACCTCCAGGGCAGCCTGGGCCCTACACCCACAGGCAGGCTCCCACCTTCCAGGTAGGAAGCTCCCACTCTGTGACAGGCACACACACGCCTCCCAGCAACCATGGGGTACAACTGCCCCCACAGTCACCTACCCCCTTTGCCCCATAAGAACACCCTGGGCCCCATCCCCAGCTCTGCCTGCCCCCCACCAGAAC